GAGGTAGGTAATCTAGGAAATTTAGGTGGATGCATTTCGAATGCCAACCTATACCTATCCTCAGGTGACAACCCTGAAGGAAGTTTTAACTTAGAAACTTTTTGTTTGAATTTTTCCTTCAAGGTCTCAGCCGCTTGATGCACAGTGGATTCCAAGCGCGTGGGGTCATAAGTAGTTTCAAAATAATTTTGGAAAGCTTTAATCTCTTTGGCATGAGTAAACATACCTTTCTTTGCTGGTACCTGCACATCGAAGGCATCAATTAGTTTCTGTTGAATTGTAAGTGTATCGAACATATAAGTTTGATAAAACTTGGTCCACCATTCCAGAAACCCCTTAGCTGTGAGATGGGTAGGTTCGAAGGTTATCAGCTCAAACTGGGCAAAGCCTTGATATTGTTCTTGCTGTATTTGGCTTCCCGTGCCTTGAAAGTTCGCCCAGAAGTAATGGCACTCTCAGTTTGAAATAAAGGTTCAGGAATTAGTTGGCATAAGCCAAACTGTCTCGAAACAAAATTTGGCTGGTAAGCAAAAAGAAAAATTTGATTCTTGGCAGGAGTTATTCTTGAAGAAATGAGTCTAGGTAGCAAAAAGGCTCTCCATACATCCTGAATCTCCTTGCTCTTGATAGCTTCTGAGAGAGCCATGGTGAACCAGGAAGGTCCATGAGCCCTCGAAGCAAAAGGCGCCATGCTCTCTTCGAACTTGTGCCTTTTGGAGAATATCATGATGTACTTCGAGAATAGAACTTTGAAGTCATCTTTGTCGTCATTTGGAGTTAATCTTCGAAGCCTAGTGCCTTCGACTATCCTATCAGTTATCTCAGGGTCTTGTTCATCAATGGTGTTGGCAGTTGACAAGGAGGGTTCGAACATGGCATTTAGCCATAGCTGAAGTAACCAAAAAGGGCCAGCCAACAGGATATTCTTGGAGGTATGGGATTTGAGGCTCGAAACAGCTGACCTCAGGCTTTCATAAAGGTCAACTAAGAGCAGTTCACTTAAGCACACTTTTCGATTTTCATGCAAATCCCTAGCTAGAGGAATAAACCTACTGGCTACCTGTAGGGATCTACTGCAGAAAATGTATCTTGACAGCCATAGGGTTAGGAAAGCAATGTGTTCTACGTCAGACACATTGTCCCCCTCAGCATGGTAATGACTGATAAACTTGGAAAAACTTGCTAGCTTGACTTCGAAGTCAATTATGCTTGAATGTTCTTTGTTGTCGGGGATATATGTTTCTCCTACTGGCGATAGCCCAGTGATGGCCGCTATGTCGAAGAAGGTGGGGGTGATCATTCCACCTGGGAGATGGAAAGTATTATAGGTACTGTCCCAGAAATAGAGGGACGCGAATAGCAGAGGGTGGCTGTAAGTGAAACCAGGCTTCGATAGCTTAATCAAATTGTAGATACCTAATTCTTCCCATTGCTGGGATTTCTTGGCTTCTACTTTCTTGAACCAGTTTTGATAAGCAGTATCGAAGGTGGGGCAAGATCGAAACGGCTTAAAATTACTTTTTACATAGTCCAATACAAAGGGGTCCTTAGGAGGAACAGTTGGATTTTCTATGGTGTTTGAACCAGAAGATTCTATTGCCTTAAGGGCGTCCATTTTGTTAAACAAGGGTTTGAAACTATAGCAAACTGGGAAAATTGTCCTGGTATCTTTTAATATTTCAAAAACCGTAAGAGGGTCATTTAAAGCTAACCTCTTACCAGCAACGGTGGTAGGAATGAGTACCTGTGACGCATACAACATTTCTTTTTCCTTTGAGATCATCTGAGGAGCAAGAACGGATTGACCTTGGTGAGTGATAATCTTACTTTCCATTGTAGTTCCTGCAGTTTTTCCTTTCTTCTTGGAGACCTTTTTGAGTTGGGATGAAGTAGAAGAAGACATTTTTGAAGGATGTTGAGAGCTTAGGGTTTTTGGCGAGAGAAGGAGGGTAAAAGATTCAGAATGTAGAAAGAAAAGAAAAAGACTAAGTGGATGATGTTTTATAATGTGGAAGTTTAAGCATCCACTGAATAAGGGTGTGATACGTGGAAATCATGGGTTGGTGTGATGAAGAGGTGGCGTAAAGTTAACATGGGTAATAGGCGTGATTTAAAGATAATCATTGTTTGTAACCGCACCATACTGTGAAGTGGCTCCAGGCGGTTAAGGAATCCAAAAAGTGCTATGATTGACGTGACTGGAGTCAAATGCATTAAATGTTACGATGATTCGAAGGTCGCATCAAAATCTTGTGTAGATGTTTAAAATAGGTATTTCTCAGAGAGATCGAAATACATATTTTAAAGGGGCATTTTGTTGGCTGAAGATTTTGATAATATTATTAGAAGCCAAGCGAATTGAACGTTTCGATCGAAATGAAACAAAGCGTCATGTTTCGAAGTAGCAGAAGCAGTGTTTCGAATAAGCATATCAAAGCTTGAAGCTTCGAGTGGCAATTATGGGAACATATCTAAAGAAGTCTCGAAATAACAACAAGGCTGTGTCTGAGAAGTGCGTTCGAAACGGAGAAGTACCAAAACATTTGAAATTCAAATGGAAGCGGGACATTCGAAGTTTGAAATTTATGTGCTGGAGCATTTGGAGACACGTGGAAAGAAGAGAGAGGCATTGTTCTGCATGTTCTGAACGTGGCATAATCCTATAGCAAGACCGTTATGGCCGAATTAGTATAAATAGAAGTCTTAGTATTAGGATTTCGTGTGTCATATCCATTGTACTAAATACTCAGTAACATTCAAATTACCACATGGCAAGGGAAACGAATGCAAGAGCAATGTACGTATGATAGCACCACATATTTATGATTTAATGAAAACCTTTTATCATTTCCAGCACTTTCCTTCATCTTTCTGCCAAATAACATTTACAAGTTTTCTCATTCAAAGTCTTTTTATTTCGAAATCTCTTCATTAAAGCTTTACATTTCAATGCTTTCTTTACATTTCAAGCACTTTACATTTCAGAAAACTGTCATACTTTTCATGCCTTTATCTTCAAGTTTTGTCTTTCGAAAGTCTATTTTTACTTAAAGTCATTTACAGATTTCTTGCATTAAACGCTTTCTTCATATTTCAAATCTTTTACGTTCCAGAGCATCTTTTACATTAACTGTTTTTATAATTCGAAGCCATTTACTTGCTTTTTATGCAATTTTACATGTCTTTACAATTAACATTTATTCATGCAAGTTAGTTTCGCGCACATACATTTTGATTATACCTTTAGATCTTTAAGTGAGAAATCGAAACAAGCCAAACAACTACACAACACTCAAACACCAACCATGAATATCTGTTCGATCATGAGAGTTACCCTAATGACTAAGGAATCCTAGGATCAATCTAGTCCATCCTGTGAGTTACCAAAGAAATTGAATAACAGTCAGTAAGTTTATTCGATAGTTTGGAAGACTAGCGGTTGTTTACCAGAAATCACTGGAAACAGTCACCAACAAAAAGATTTAATTTGGTGAAACCCAATTCAAACCCTTATTTCTTGTGTTTCTCACACCTTAATGAGAGACCCGCTCCAAGCATGCTTAAAGAACTTGCCCCAAGCATACATGAGAGGCCAGCCCCAGGCCTTGCTTGAGGGACTCATCTAAATGTGAAGTAGTGATTAAACTAAATAATTTTTCCCTTTACAAGCCCTCATGCTTGGGGTACCGTTTATCAATATGTTTGTAAAAGATCCATATGAGGCGACATGACATTCATCAGGGGAAACATATAACACACATCATCCAAAATGGGGTTCCTGGTCGCTCATTTATCACAATGTGCGCCCATTTATTTGCAACGTTCACACTTTGGTAGGATCACTCGCCAACTTATGAAAACATGGAGAACGATATGTCCCTATCCAGTAACGGTATGAGAAGGACAACCATGGAAGAAAGCTACATTCTATAGGATAATAAAGAAAATAACTGCCCACTTCCCACACTCATGAGGGAGAAGAATAGCGTAACAACTTTCTTCGATCCTAAGATTCAGGCCCAAAATGTTTCTGTAAATATATCAGCCTTAAGAATCAGGGGAAACATTCATTTTACTCAACAATCACTTATATACAGAACTTCTCATCATTCATGTATGGACTTGCTTTAATACGACAACAATCCTAAAACTCTTAAACAATCTTATACAACTAGGTATTGTTACTCATTGTACGTTTAACAAGTATACCTAAATTTATTTGATTCCATTCCATCTTATTTTATTCAATTTCATGAATCTATTTTTTTTAAACAATTACATATTTAATGATAGCTTTAGAGAAGTGACATAAAAAAATGATAGTTTTAGAGAAGAAAAAAAAAACTCCATTTATCCGAAATTATAAGTACTAAATTTTTTTAAATTAATATACACCGACGAAATAAAGCGATTTTACACTATCAATTAATCATAACTATTTAATTTCTATTAAAATTTAACTTTTATTTGAATCATCTATAAAATAACATCTATATATGGTTGTAATGTACACGGTGTAAAACGGACATTGCATAACAATTAATTTAATTTAGTTTTTTTTCTGTAATTATAAGTCACTCTTCTATTATAATACAACTTTAATGATATTTTTTCTTAATATATTTTTAACTAATTATTATTTTTTCTTTTATTTATTTATTTTTAATTTCTCTTTCTTAGTAGTATAGTAAAATCAAACATAATTTTTGTTATTCAAGATTAATTAAGTTCCATAATTTGTAAGAAAGGCTAAAAAACATAGTATAATTAGAATAATTTTGTAAAGAGGAGTAATTAGAGTAAAGCCGAAATTGACTTTAATTAAGAGCAAATCAATAAAACTTTAATCACACATGCTAATGACTCTAACTAGAGCAATCGCAGCTTTCAATTGAAGTAAACCATAGGACTTCAAAATTCGAAGCTCAAATAAACAAACACTTCGAGATTCGTTACTGTGACTTCATTGCGTAACTAACTACACAGATTCATTCAAAATCATGATAACAGTTTCCGATTGGATCCGTTCATCTTCGAATCAACAAATCGATTTGTACAAGCAATGGTTCAACATTGCTGATTCAGGTTTTTTTCCTACTTGCTTAGTTTTTCATCAATTTTCGTTTTCGTTTTTCGTTGATTTGATTGCTTGATCGTAGATGGTGATGGCCGTGTCACTGGAAATGATGCTACAAAGTTCTTCGCTCTTTCCACCTTGTCTCGCCCTCAACTCAAGCAGGTATATATAAATTCCTTTCTATTTTTTCAATTTTTGTTTTTCTATGAATCACGGATACCCCGAACACAACACTGACAATGACACGGTTTGAAATAAATAAATAAATTAAACGTAATCGGTCGGTGTCCGACACAGACACATGCCTTTTTTCAGAGTTGACAGGTGTTAGTGCTACATAGCTCATTTCAATTACAATTAAGTTATCAAATGTTAATTGAACTCTTTTTCATTGGTTTAGTTGGCTTAATTGCTTTGATTTACTAATAATTCCTTTTATTTTCTTCGTATTTTAGGTTTGGGCGATTGCTGATACCAAGAGACAAGGTTTTTTAGGGTTTGAAGAGTTTGTTACTGCAATGCAGGTAATATAGATTTTGAAAAAGTGAATGTTGAGTTTTAATATGGATGGATTATGTGATGTTGAAATTTGACTTTGAAATTTTATGTTTGTTGTGATAAACAGCTCATTTCTGTGGGACAGGCAGGGTATGATCTCAACTCGGATATTCTAAAAACTGAAAGTAAGTTCACGGATTAATGGTTTTTATTTGATGATTTTGTGTCTGTATTTTTTGTTCCTGTAAATTGTTTGCATTGATTAACGATAAGAGAAGCTATTAGGAATTTAGGATAGAACTTGAGATTATCGAGTTGGATAGAAACATGATTTTTGATAGAACTTTATGGCATAGTTTGATTCATGAGCCGACCTCACTTAGTGGATTAAGTTTTATTGTTGGAAATTGTTTGCATTGATATTTATTTTATCAAAGGAGAGAATGTGCTTTGCTCCTTCTATATGTTATTCTTGTCTGAAAATATAACTCATCCTCGCGAGAGGTTTGATTCGTCAGTGCTGGTTGTCTCCATTGCGATGGCGGTGCCAGTCCTGCAAAAGGCACTCCATATATAGTAGTGAAGTTTAGGGATTCAAGATACCTCAAAAAGGGTTGAAGATATTCCTTGTATAGGAATTAGGAAGATAATGGACTTCCTAATTGGCTTTGGTACACTCGTTCTGGTCTCAATTGGCTATTACAGTCAAGTTATGGACATCCAACTTGTCATGATAAGGATGATGAAGTTAGGTCTCACGTCATTACCTGTGTCATGACCTCTATCTGTCGAGTGTAAATCGTTTCGCATGATACTGGACACTCAGTGTGTGGTTACAAGGCTTAATTAATGGATACCAACAAGAGTAATGGGTAACCTGGTTCATGAACCACCTAAACAGGGAGAGTATTGTTCTCAATTTTCCTAATGATGACATATGTATGTACTATTTTATCTGTTGGATTAAAAGAGACTGAATTTCCCTTCAGTCTTATTTTAACTTTATGTTGCTCTTACTAGTTGTGCTATTTATTCGCTTAAATGCATTTAATCATCCCATTTCTTATTAATTTCAGTTGACAGCGAAAAGATAAAATCTCCAGTACTGGAAGGAATTGATGCATTAGTAGCAGTAAGCAGTGCTTTCTATATCACTACTGTATCAATTAGATTGTATGTTATTTATGTCAAATCCTTTTCTTATTGATTTGTTTTTTGTTTGCTTTTTTAGAATTCAAAGAGTCCCACAAAAAATGCACAACCTGATGTATTTGGTTAGACATGTATTTTTTTTTCTTTCTTTATTAATGACATTCTATTGTTTAATTAACATTGATTGAATTGTTTTACTGATAATACTTAGGGACTGGCCAGCTTCAGCCTTTTCCACGAGTTGCTTCAAAATCTGCAAAGAAGGTGAGTCCTCCAAATTTATGCCCATTTTGACAAAATCTGTAAAAATGAGGTCACTGGTGCTGTCACTATTTCATACTTCTAATGGACTAACGATAGTTAATTTTCTGATGCTAAAATGAAAGGTCTTCTTTTATTACGGAATTATTTGTTTATTTTTCTTTTTTTTACTTGGATGAATTACTATGAGGCAAATACATGTATAATTGACAACTATCTCTGTTGCTCTCATTCATTGCATCATGAATCAGAAAATGTATGCAAGGGAATATTGAAGTGATGTAATTACTTTGTAAAAACAATTTGAAATGTGCAGTTGTGAAATAGTTTCTTTGCAAGTTCTACTATGTATGCCTTTACTTTATTTATATTTCTTGCTCGTAATATTCTAACATAGCAATATCTTTTTTCTTAGTTACCCCTCAATGCGGTGACATCAATAATAGATGGCTTGAAGAAATTGTATGTGGAGCGGCTAAAACCGTTGGAGGCTACTTATCGATTCAATGATTTTGTATCTCCATTATTGGTAAGTGATATATCAATGAAGTATGCTAATTTCTATACATACCATGTGTGAATGGGATTGTATCATGATTCGTGGTATATTATTCATGTAATTATGACTAATCAAATTAGGATTTTTATCATTTGTCCCTTTCAGACCAACAGTGATTTTGATGCTAAACCAATGGTCATGCTACTCGGTCAATATTCTACTGGAAAAACAACATTTATTAAACATTTGCTAAGATATGAATATCCAGGTTAGTTAAGTTGTGGTTGATCTAGCACTGCATTATACATTATATAAATTCCTTCATGCATATAATTTGACAATAGAGGGATATAAATTCCTTCATGCATATAATTTGACAATAGAGGGATATAAATTCCTTCATGCATATAATTTGATGATAGAGGGATATAAATTCCCTTATTAATTTTGTATCACCTTAATCTTGACACAGGGGCGCACATTGGACCAGAACCTACAACTGACAGATTTGTCGCTGTCATGGTATACTAATTTTTTTTCTTCTAGTATTGCCTTTGGAAGTTAATAAATCTAAACAAAACTCTTCTTTTTGGAGTGTCAGAGATCATTCTGCAATTGTGAATTCATTCCATAGTGTTCACAGTGGTTCAAAGCTCAATATCTTTTTATTTGTAGTCTGGAACTGATGAGAGGAGCATTCCTGGAAATACTGTAGCTGTTGATGCTAGCATGCCTTTTAGTGGCCTGACAAGTTTTGGTAGTTCATTTTTGTCAAAGTTTCAATGCTCTCAAATGCCACATCCAGTGAGTCTTTTTTATATCTTTCCAATTCCACTTTTGCTCGATTGGCATTTTCGTCCTTGAACTTGAAACAATATTTTCCCTCAGCTGCTAGATGAAATAACATTTATAGACACCCCTGGTGTCCTCTCTGGAGAAAAGCAAAGGACTCAACGAAGTTATGATTTCACCGGTGTTATATCTTGGTTTGCTGCAAAATGTGATTTGATTCTTCTCCTATTTGATCCTCACAAACTTGACATTAGTGATGAATTTAAACGAGTAATTTCCTCTCTACGTGGTCAAGATGACAAAATACGTGTTGTTTTGAATAAGGCAGACCAAATTGATACTCAACAAGTAAGGCACTATCAACAACTAAATTTAAACTGATCAAGATATTTCTGACAAATTATTTTTCTAGTTTGTGGCTATTTATGTGCCCCGTATTGTAATGTCGCAGCTCATGAGAGTTTATGGAGCACTGATGTGGTCCTTGGGAAAAGTTCTAAATACCCCGGAAGTTGTACGTGTATATATTGGGTAGGTTAGTTGTCTTTGAAATTACATATAATGATTAATTGATTTGCTTACAAGGGGCTCAATTTTGTTATTTACTATTCATTTGAGCTTATGCTGTTCTGCTGCAATTGAGCATCATAAAAATTTTAGGCTTTTTCAGTTTTGGTTAAAAGAATTATCTTTATTATCTTTTCTTTCTTAGCATTTTGTAGGTGAGTTCACGTTTAGTGTCTTCCCGTGCTTCACACTGTTTTCATGTTCATTAATGGATTCGTTCTCTAGTTAGTTTGACATTCTTCAGCTGTTGGTTTGTTCTACTTTACTTGACTTTTCAGCTCATTCAATGATAAACCTATCAATGAAGGCTTTGTCGGCCCATTAGGACAGGAGCTTTTTGAGAAAGAACAAGGTGATCTCCTTTCAGATTTGGCAGATATTCCAAGAAAGGCGTGCGACGGTCGGGTACAGTTCTATTTTCATATTATTTTTAGACAGGTTCATACAAATGAGTAAAAGTATATGAATATAGCAAATCGCCTGCAAGCATATACTCCTTTTATTTGTTTGTATTTTCATTTTTCGGTTCTAAAATCCGATGTCATTGGAATGGTGCAGATCAATGAATTTGTCAAACGTGCTAGATCTGCTAAAATCCATGCCTATATAATTAGTCATCTTAAGATGCAGATGCCTGCAATGATGGGCAAAGCTAAAGTGCAACAAAGGCTTATAGATGATCTTGAAGATGAATTTAAAAAGGTATCCTCCATCCACTTTTGTTTCTTTAATTTGCTTAGTTGCTTAGTTACTTATTATTTACTATCATTTTGCAAAACAGGTTCAAAGGGAGTTTCATTTACCAGTTGGTGATTTTCCTAATGTAGATCACTTCAGAGAGGTTTTGAATACTTACAGCATTGACAAATTTGATAAATTGAAGCCTAAAATGATTCAAGCGGTAGATGACATGCTTGGTTATGAAATACCAGAGCTGTTAAAAAAATTTAGAAATCCTTATGAGTAAAGTTGAAAATCGATTAAGCTTGTTTTTGGTTGTCATGAATTTTTCTGACTGAGATTTTGATGTTTTCCTAAAATAGTTGTAATATTTTTTGTGTGCGCATTGAATGTCCAATGTCCACATCGTGTAAAGTCCAGTCCATGACATAAGATTGTTTAGACAATTGCCGCTCTATTTTGTTTGCCTTGATTGTATATGAATGTGCACCATTTGAAGGTGCTTTGTTCCTTGTTAGAAGTAATTCATATTCAGAAAATGTTGTTCAGAACTAGTTGAGTTTCTGAGGTTGTTAGTTAAAAGTTGTAAGCTTCTGAGACTATTTAGTCAGAAGCGGTAGTTTGATATATTCATGAAGTTGTTATTAGTCAGAAGCAAAAGCTTCCGAGGTTACGTCCAGAAGTATGCTTAGCTTCTGGAGTTCTGGGTTCTGAATTTGTTAGCGTAGCTGTTAAGTTTAATATTTCCTAGTTTGTACTTTTTAACTTAATCAATAAGTTTACTTTTATTAGGGGCTACCTGACATAAATAGACTAGTGGTAGCTGTCATTTGTAACCTTCCAATAATTTCTTTTGTAAGCTTTCTAGCCGTCATTGCAGTAAATATATTATCTCTTACATTTTCTTCATTTATTAACCTTGTGCACTAACAAGTTGGTATCTAGAGCTCTAGTTAGAATCCATGGGAAACACGAGTGAAACAGTGAGGTGTTGTTGTGTGATTGATTTTGATTCTTGAATTCGTGTTGAATCTTGAACAAAATCTTAATAGAATCACATTTTCTGATTTTGTGGGATTGGGAAACATTGTGTTTGTGAGATTTGGGTGTTCTGTACAAGGTTGAAGATGAACGGAAACGACAATATGAGTACCAAGCTTGCAGTGTTCGATGGCAAGAACTAGAACTGTTAGATGATTCAGATGCATGTGCTATTTGGTGCTCAAGATGTTCTTGAGCTTGTTACCAAATGTTATGTTTCAGTTGCAGAAAACACAACGGAATAGCAGAGAAACAGACAAAGAGACAAGAGGAAGAAATATTAGAAGGTGTTGTACTATATTCATCAGTGTATGGATGTGAACGTGTTTGAGAAGATTGCATATTCGACGATGTCAAAGGGCGCGTGAGATATAATGGTCAGATGTTACGGTGGTGACGCATCAGTGAAGAAGGTGAAACATCAGTCCCTACGAAACAATATGAGAATCTAAACATGAAAGACAACGAGAAGGTTTATGAGTACATCTCTAGAGTGATTCTGATCACTAATGAGATGGAAGCTTGTGGAGAAACCCTTTCTGAACAAGTAATCATTGATAAGATATTAATGTCTCTTACTCCTCAATTTGATTACATTGTTGCAACAATTGAACATTCTAAAGATCTGGACACCATGAGAATAGAAGAGCTGCAAAGCAGTCTAGAGGCGCAAGAGTTGCGTCTGACGAAAAGAACTTCTGAGAGGGAAGTTGAGCATGCTCTGAAAACTTCTTTTGTCAAGAAGAACCAGAAGCAGAGAAAACATGGTAGGTCTCAGAAGTCAGAAGTCTTCTAATCTGATGAAAAGAAACATCAGAAGGGAAAGAAGAAGTATGACAAGATAACGGTTCAATGTTACTGTTGTAAGCAGTTTGGCCACTTCGCTAAAGATTGTTGGACAAACAAAGAAGAAGTAAAAATAGTCAGAGGAGATTCTAATGATGAACTCGTGTTATTGATGGCTTATGAATATGATGGAGAACCTGTGAGATTGTCATTTTTTGATTCTGAAGGGGAAGAACATGACTCTGAATATTCTGACTCTGAAGGAGTGTTTGAATATGAGTTAGAATCAGAAGATGACGCTGAAGATTTTAAAGATGAGTCAGAATTTGAGGTTCCTGAAGAATGAGCCAGAGTTAGAAGATGACTCTGAAGCTGAAGACAAGTCAGAATCCGAAGGTGATTCTGAGTCTGAAGAATCAGAAGATGATTCAGAATCTGAAGAAGATTCTGCTTCAGATGAGTCATAACTTGAAAGTTTTGAAGAAGAGCTACAGTCAGAAGATGAAGAATCTTCTGGAGACTCTAAAGATGAGTCAGATGGTGAATCTGATTATGATCTAGATTTCGATGATGATCCAGAATCTGGTAGTGGTCATGCTTCTAGAAGGAAAAACTCTGAAGACGTAGGTTCTGGAGGACAAGCTTTGAAGATGATCATGTTTCTGGTGGAAATCATGTCTCTGAAGGTGGATCTTATGAAGAAGGAGCTTCTAAAGGTAATTCAGCCTTTGACTATGATCATGATTATGAAAGTGGAACTTCTAAAGACAAAGTTTCATAAGGTGATCAAACTTTTGAAGATGGTATTTCTGAAGGTAGTGGTTCTGAACGAGGTCCAGAAGCTAACAAAGGTGGAGTTTCTGGTGGTAGTCAAACTTATGAAGAAAGTCCAGAAGGAGATATTGTTCCAGAATCAGAAGGAGATTCTGAACAAGTTCAGAGGCCACATAGAGTCAGAAATATACCAAGAGATTTGCAGAGTTTGACAAGCTGTAAGATAATGAAGGGACTCTGAGGTATAAAGTGTTATTCCTTTCTAGTGTTAGATCAGATGTAGAGCTGATATGCTATTCAGACTCTGATTTGTATGAAGACAGAGTTGACAGAAGAAATACTTCTTGCTATTTTTGTTTGTATCTGAAAAGACCTATTTCTTGGTGCTCCAAGAAGCAACTGGTGGTTGCATTGTCAACTTGTGAAGCTCTCAAGAAGAAAGTGTGGTTGAAGGCCATGACAGAAGAGCTTGATGATATTGAAAGAAACAAGTCTTGGAAATTAGCTGAGCTTCCGAAGGAGAAGAAAAGCACCAACGTCAGATGGGTCTTCAAGGTGAAGTATGCATTTCTAAATGGAGTATTAGAAGTTGCACACTGTAGCAACCAGAAGCAACTTGCATATGTTCTAACGAAGGATGTCAAGACTGAACACTTTATCCGTTTGAGGGGTAAAATTGGTGTTGTAGTTTTTTGGTTAGCTGAATATGAATTAAGGGATGGTGTTAGAAGTAATTCATATTCAGAAGAAGATGTTGTTCAAAAGCAGTTGAGCTTCTGAGGTTGTTAGCCAGAAGTTGTAAGCTTCTGAGACTGCTTAGTTAGAGCAGTAGTTTGATATATTTATGAAGTTGTTATTAGTCAGAAATAAAAACTTTTGAGGTTACTCTCAGAAGTATACTTAGCTTCCGGAGTTCTGAGTTTGTTAGCGTAGGTGTTAAGTTTAGTATTTCCTAGTTTGTATCTTTTAACTTAGTCATTAAGTTTATTTTCATCATGGCCTACGTGACAATTTACTTTGTGTATGAATTGACTAGTGGTAGCTGTCATTTGTAACCTTCCAATCATTCTTTTTTTGTAAGTTTTCTAGCTTATTAACCTTGGACACTAACCCCTCTTTATCCAATTTACCATTCCTAGTGCTCCGGGGAGCGAGAGTGGTACGATGAAGGTGCTCTTGTATACTTGTTTGTTTTAAAATTATATATATATATATATATATATATATATATATATACATGTTTATGTAGCATATAATTTTCACTGGCTGCATCATCTTTGGTTGATTGCAGGCGTTTAAATCACAGGTTTAACAATACGTCAAGTTGTTGAAGACCGTATACATGATATCACGTATTCTCATATCCACCTGATGTAATGATAAATAGTAGTCATACCACTATTTAAATCTTTTTTTAAGTGAATTGAATTTTTCAATGGTATATGTCGTTGTGTCTCGTTTGGTGCAAAATTGACGGTAATTTCTTGATGTACCCTATACATTACTAGGACACCGTGAAAATACAGTTATACTCTCAGACTTTTGAGATACATCTCTGGACGCACAAAAATACAACATAATTCTAAATTAATTGAAATAATTAATCGCAAATATATCTACGTATAACTTACGTAGATGCATCTCTAAACGTATCGAAATTCAATACAACTCTGACTCAGGCTTAAATTACATGTGCAATTATTTTAGAGATACATCTTCGTAAAGCCTACGTAGATGCATCTCTGGACGCATTCGTTCAAATACGCGTCAAAAGCCTTCACCTTACTCACTTACTCAAACACTCTTAAAAAACCTATTTTTAACAAAATCTCTCAAAACCTCCTTTTCTCAATATTTATCAAACCACATTCAAGCAACATCAAAATGCATCATTCAACTTCAAACATCCAACTTTAAGCAACATCAAGCAGCAACAAGTAAGTTTTTAATAAATTTTTTAAGTTTTTGTATAAATGTGTAGAAGTTGATGTTTAGGCTATGAAATAGAAAGATTTTACTTGTTTGATAGCTTATACCTGATTTGGAATGAGTTAGATAAGTATTTTTTACGATCAATGCATTTTGTAGATGATTTTGGGGGCTTCATTCTTCCATTGATGGTGGTTATAGTTGCAAGTTATTTCAAAGATGCATCTCTAGAATTTCTCACGTTTACTCAAAATCTAGAGATGCATCTCCGTAACTAGTATGTCTATAATATTTTGCTTTTTTTTTATAGAACTCATTGTGTAACGCTTGTCTTGTCTCGATTGAGACACTACAGACTTGTAAAACATGTATTCGTTCGGAGGGAAAATAGTCAACAATTGCAGGCTCCTGCTATCTCTGGCCCGAGTTGATGCGGAGGCGTCAATTTCCACGACACATGTATCTCTGCTTTCTTCTTCCTCTTTCTGTAGCAGGCAATGATCCCCTCCTCAGGCATCTCCTCCTCCATCTTCCCGTAGACGGCTAAGTTCACCTATTCAGATACCCGAGGTAGTCGAGGTACTTGAGTCACCCGAGGTACCTCAAAGTATAGAGGCACCTGATGCATCCAATGCCTAGGAGACAACGACAACACATGAGGCATCCCGGGCCTATGGGGTAGCAAAGGTCGCACCTGAAGCATCCCAAACCTAAGGTCTAGTAGAGGCGGCACCTGAGGCATCCCAGATCCAAGAA